GGGGGGGGGGGAGGGAGAGATGAGGCTAGTCCTGAGCATCGATCCTTATGTATGCACTCTATACGAGGTACACTTATCTAATGGCTTTTACTGGGTATTGTCTGGGGAAACGTGCACTGCCCTACCCACTACCACCACCACTACCAAGCGCCTCCTGACTTGCCAAGAAAAACGAAGGGTATTTCCTTTTTGGCGTTGTCGGAGAACACTGACTCACATGACCGGAGGGCCGAGGAGGTCTCGGCGGAGGCGCCCCCCTGTTGAATTACTCCATGCCAATTTCAATTCCCAGAGGCCAACCCGACCCCGGGCTAGCCGGCCGGCCGCGGGGGTTGTCAGTCCTGCTCCGCTCGCTGGTGGTGGCGGCCCTGGCGGCCCTGGTGGCGCGGGCCCCCCACGGCGCGGCTCACTCCTATTCCACCCAATTCCGGCTCGAATTTGGTGGGTAATTGGGGGCGAGTTGCATTTCACTTGCTCCATTTGTTGATTTCATTGAAGAGGGAAGAGAGGAGGCGGGCGTTTTCGATTTTCGGTGGCGGCTAGGCTGCTTGCCCCTTGCCGCGCTCCCCTGTATGTTGTATCACCGCGTTTTTACTAGCAGACTTGTTCCCAGGCAATGTTTCCTGTAAAGTGGCCGGGTCGATGTGGCCTTGGATTAGATATTTTAAAAGGATGGCCAGCGTCCCCCGCGTGCTGGCGTCTGAAACCAAGGGTTTTCTCTTGATTCAGGTTACCTTTATAATATTAACAGCAATCTAATAACACACAAATGTTATGAATCCTGTATGATATGGTATTTGCATTCACAATCTCACAACAAAATACGCCATGATTTATTATACAATGTTGGCTTTCCATTCATACAAAGAAGTGCATTAAAAAAATGTGTTCGAATGATAGGGAGGAGAGTGAGTGTGAGGGAGACGGGCGACGCGAGAGAGAAGTCTGCATTGAAAACACGCACAAATTTACGAGTTGCGGGTCCGCCCACCAGCAGACACATGAAAGCGGGCAATAAATGCCATTTGAAACGAGATCCTCCTCCTTGGAGCCTGGCTGCGTGATGGGGCGCGTTTGAATAATACAGTGTTGTCTCTGATCCTTTCTGCTGTTGAACAAGTCTCATAGTGAACATCGATTTTGCGAACGCGGCCCGCTAGCGCGCAAGAGATAAACACATTGGTTTGGGAAGCTGGAGAGAGAGAGAGAGAAAGAGAGAGAGAGAGAGAGAGAGAGAGAGAGAGAGAGAGAC